CGCACGCGATCTGTGGACACGGCTCTCTCGCTCGCCTCCGGCCGTCTGCGCTGAACCAATGGACCTCCGCCGAGCCGCCGCACGATTCCGGATTCCAGCTTTGGACGCCTAAAGTTTTTGGTTTTTGTTTTATTATATTATTATTATTATTGTTTTGTTTTGGAGGGGGGATCGGGAGGGGAGAGTCTTCAACGCCACCAACGTGAGATTCCACCCCCCCACCCCCCACCCCCGCTCTGGAAGGATTCCTGCTGATGTCTGCATAGTCGGTTAGAGTAAAAACGGCGCATGCCTTCCCCGGAGTCAGGACCCGTGGATTCTGACGTAGCCCGTGCATCTTAAAATCCTATAATAACGCCTAGGCATTGAAGTTGCCATGGCCATTCCGATCTGGAACCAAATGGAGAAACTACGAAATTTCTTCCGTACGACCGCCGGCTGGGATGCAGACCTTCCTGCCTGCTAGGAGCCAGGGCTCTGCCCATAGAGATGCATAGATGTGTTTATCAGTGTGTCGGCGTGTGAGTATACAGCGCTGGTTTCTTTAGGCTATTAGTGGTTTGACCTTGAACCTGTACCAGTGAAACGGCAAATTACTTTTATTTATGTATTTCATGGATTGAAGAAAATAACGTGTTTTTTCCCCCTCTCTGCAACCGCAGTAAGGGAGGGGAGTTGAATATACCTCGCCTAAGATTTCCCGGGTTGGCACCATCATTATTGTTTATCCCTGTGCTCCAACAGCCCAGCCTTCTGATGGCTCCCTTAGGTGAAGTTGGGAACTATTTCGGTGTGCAGGATGCAGTACCGTTTGGGAATGTGCCCGTGTTGCCGGTGGACAGCCCGGTTTTGCTAAGTGACCACCTGGGTCAGTCCGAAGCAGGGGGGCTTCCCCGGGGACCTGCAGTCACGGATTTGGATCATTTAAAGGGGATTCTCAGGCGAAGGCAGCTCTACTGCAGGACTGGATTTCACTTGGAAATCTTCCCCAATGGTACTATCCAAGGAACCAGGAAAGACCACAGCCGATTCGGTAGGTATACCATTAACATTCTCGTGTCCGCGCCGTTACACGTTGGGATTATAACTACCAAGAAGGGTTGGTGGCCGGGCGGGGGTGCAGGAAGGGTCTCTCCCTCTTTCTGCTTCTGTCTTGCCAGCTAAAATAAAATAAAATAAAATAAAAGCCCCCGGAATTGCTTGTCTGCCACTGGCACCTATGCAAGTCTACATTGAAAGGCTTTAAATTAAAAAAAAATTTTTTTTAAAGAAGGGCATTATTTATAAATATCACATAAGCTCCTCATTCCTTTGAATCAGATACTCAGGAAGATCAGGTTTAGGAATTTGTTTGTTTTTGTTTTGGATGGACCAATCCCAGGAGTTTAAAGCTTTAATCATTAACTACTGAGAACTTAAAAACGCATTTCCTGAAGGCATGTTTTATTGTAATCTGGTGCCCCAATGAAGTTTTTGCCCCCTCCCCCTTTCTTCTAACAAGTATCCTGCTTGAATTGTAAATGAAAGGTATTGATTCCCACCATGAGAGTCTGAACCCCTTCTGCTAGGCTTGCTAGCTGAATGTTCTTTTGGGAGGACTGAAGTCACATTAGATTTGGGAAGGGGCAGGACGCTCACTGGGGTTGCTTGTCCTTCTAGCCATCAAATTACCACCGGTCTATAGTGTGCAGCCTAGGTGGGGTTCCTGGGTGACTCTCTGGTGTGAATGTGTGTGCGCTGTGCAAAAGCTGAGAGCTAATTATAAAGAGCATTCAGTTCTGAGGACTTCACTTCCCCAGGAGGGTACTTGTGACTCAGCATGGAGGCTACAAACCGGAGGGCTGGTGACCATCCACCCCTTTCATTTCTGCACACACGTGCTGGCTGGGCTGCCCTGAGCCCAACAGTCAGCACAGTCCAGGTGGGGGACTCTGCTTCCCCGCAACCCCCACTTACTTATACAAAAAATAAAAAATAAAGAAATAAAAAGTGCCAGTTCGGGCAACCAGGCTGTTGAAAAAAGTTGATTTTTTAGTGGACCCACCTGACAACACTTAAAATGGGTCGTAAAAAACAAAGTCCCGCTGTGATTTTTCTCCCTCAAGCTTTCATGCCAGATGTAGACCACAATCTAAACTATCTGTTTTAGGTTCAGGGGCTGTTGATGAGGCCAGAAGGCGAGCAGGATTCAGGCCTGGGATGGGATGGCCTAGCATTTTGCCCCTTTGCTCCCCGAGCCTCAGCGCCAAGCTGAATCTGCTAGTGCAAAAAATTCCTGGCTGTCTTAAAAAAAAAAAAAAGTGGTAACTCCTGGCCTTGCAATTATTCGGTTGAAAAATACTTCTCCGCTCCCCACCCCGCCCCAGTGGATGCAGCTCTTGTGGTTGCACAGCAGACTAAACTTTACTAGTGCTGCTCTGGGGCCGCTGTGGGGGCTGCCACCGTTCCCAGCGTTCGCACCAAGGTACGGGCGATGGGCGCCGCCGGTGGGACTGCTGGAGTGTCCGGGTCGCAGCTGC